TTGGTGAACCTGACATCTAACAGGTTGGGAGTTAGAACATTTCCCCTACATCATTTGGTGAACTGACACCATGCCTATGTCAGTATGACTTCTGAGTCTCCCCAAAGTCAAAACGACCAGAAATAAAGTTGTGAATCAGGTCAGGACTCTGAGGCGGCCACAACAAGCTCAACTAAAGACAGACAGAAAGGAGAACTTCCAGAATTGCTTCAAAAAGTAGCAAGAACATGGAACAAGTGTTTGAAGCAAGGGCGAGGGAACATGTTGAGGGTGATTAATGACATCTTTTACTATAATAAATTTCTAATTTAAACATTCAAGTCCTGGTATCTAATCCACTTTGTTGAACCAACATGTAAAATGTAGGCGCTTTTAGAGAAAACAAATTCCAGACAAAACTGAAAAAAAAAATATTTAAAAATATTTTAATATTTTAATATTTTAATATGGTGCCTGAGGATCTGGCACCAGCACTGCCTGGTCAGGGAGAGAAGGCAGAAAGGGGTGGGGGAGAAGTTGGAGGGGAACACAGACGCAGCGGCGAGGGCGCAGACAGCACAACGGGCAGCATCTCGGGAAGAGACACGGTGTGAGGTGGTAAGATGCCGTCAGGTTGGGTACAGCTTCACTAGGTAGGCGTGCAGAAGGCCAAAGAGGATTCCAAAAGAGAACAAGAACTAAAGTCAGCAAGTAGGCTCAACATGCATATGAGCCTTCAAAACCAATATCTACTTAAAGAATCAAGGGACTGGAAACCTCAGCACCCCACTACAGTGGAGCAGAGGGACGTTGGGCAGCCGCAAACGCCGAGGAAATGAACGTGCCCAGAGGAAGGGCACCGGCACAGCCACACCGCAGGACCGCAGGACCGCAGGACCGCAGGACCGCAGGACCGCAGGACCGCAGGACCGCAGGACCGCAGGACCGGAGGACTGGGCAGGCCCAGGGCTGAGCCCCTACTGGGCAGGGACATGTGCAGCAGAGGATGCGTGCTGAAGGCAGGCTGTGCTTTGGGGAGAGCCCCAGAACACCGGCGCCATGATGGAGCACACACTTTTTCTCATTTAAGGAAAAAAATAAAAAATAAAAAGTAAATAAATAAAATTAATAATAACAAAATAATATATATATATATATATATATGTATGTAACTTATAAACTAGCAGGGAAAATGAACACATTGGTATATTTTTTATCATCTTAAATATATATAAGTAATAGAGAAACATCAAGTTTAAGGGAGTCTTTACAGGGACCCAGAGAATATGATGTATTTACTGAGCAAAGGAAAAACACAGCTGAGATGTGGATGTTTCTGTATCCAAATTTCCGATCTCATTTGAGGCAATGTGGGTCAGGAAAGATCACAAACTGTACAAAGGAGAAAGGAAGGGGAAGCCAATACGTATGTATAACCATCTCAACTAGCACAGACATGATAATCATATCACACATATGACAGCTAAGATAACTATACTACTAAATCATCTTTTTTTTTTTTTTTTTCTTGCGGAACCAGGGATTAAAATCAGGCCCTTGCGCTTGCCAGGGAAGCGCTTATTCCACTGAGCCATCTCCCCGGCCCTACTAATTCATCTTAATTCATTAAAAAGAAAGGTTTGTGCCCATACTGCTTGGACAATTAGATGTCTATATCTTATACTCTAAGTAACTACTTTAAAGATGACAACAGGTAAAGTATTAACCATTGCTACTCTATTACCTTCTTTTGAATTTTTTTTTCTCCCTGAAACTATTTTTTAAAAAAGTCACAAACTGTGATCTCATGAATTCAAGTCAGATTGTATCTTTTAGCATTTTAATAAAGTCCCAAGTAAAGTAGAGTAAGAGCAACTGATACAATGAATTAGGTAATAAACTTTCAAGTACAAAACCAAGACTTCCAGAACAACTTCCTTTTTCAGTTTATTAAAACAAAACTACATTTCTGTGCTTCTCACAATACATTATCAGGCATAAAAATCATTTCCAAGTAAGTTTCACTCACAAAAATCACACAGCATTATTTTACAATACTTTGTAGTAGTTCTTTTTACAACACTAACATTTCTTTATACAACAAAAGCTTTTACATCTTCCATCAAGACATTTAGCCCTTTAACTAGAAATAAGGTCAAGAGTTTCTTTCAAAGCAATCATTAGTTTGTATTAAACTAAAATGCCAGGTGGCAACTCTCAGGTTCCTAAAAAGAGTATTTTAAAAAATTGATTTATGTATCATAGTCTTATAAACATCAGTGATAGATCCTATCATTTCTAAACACTAGAACTATCTAGGATAAAAATCTCATTCTATTATGCAATTTTTCTTCTAGATCTGAGTTACATTATTAACCCCAATTACTCTTTATATTAATTAATTCTATTTTCAGTAAAAAAAAAGCCAGGGTTATTGACGGCTGGTCTTTCCATCACAGGAAAGTGCGAGGTCCACCTATATTATAATTTTCTGTGCTTATTCTTTCCAGAGGAGAAAAAAATACATCCATTCAATGCAACATTGCATGTTACAAAGTGCAAGCAAGCTTTGCTTCAGTGCCACCTGTTCATATTCTCTGGTCTCCTTAAAGAACTACCTAATGTAATGTTTCCCAAAATGTTTTCCACAGGATACTAGAAAGAGGTACAGAAGTGTCCCCAAAGGGAAAAAGGTCCTGAGGTCAAGATAGTTTGGGAAATCCTGGGTTAAACAGGCTACTCACTGCCAAGGCTGAGCCCGGATCATGCTAAAGTGGACTGTAAGTTGCCGAGTGCAAGCTCAGTTCCCAGCAGCACTTGGTACAAAGTGCAGCTTACAGAGCGCTCATGTTACCTGGAGGGATGTGGGAAGTACTTCCTCCTCTCCTCGGGGCTGTGGGAAACCCTGCAATCTGAACTTCCATTCATGACACCCAGATGTATTTTCTCCACTCAACCTCAGGACTTCATGAGATTTAACAGGGCTGAGAAGGAAGACGTAACGCTTTCTCGGTCCCTTACTCCACACTCTTCATTCTGTGTTTGCCTTCTCTTAGATTTTTAAAAGAGCAAAAATCCTCACTTCTTCTGAATTACTTAAGACATTCTCATTTTTAAAAACAATGCACTTTCATATTGCTCACTGTTTTTTTTTTCTTAAACTTGACTCACAGTTTTCCCCTGAAGGGCATGCATTTCGGTTGTACAGAAATGCAATAGAGTAAACTGTAATAAATTATTTACAAGCACCTAGTTTGATTAACATGAAAGCCATTCACTGTGATGAAACAATGAGAATTTAATCTATTAGCAAAACAGTGCTATCTGGAAGCTTTACTGTGATGACTTCTTCCCCAGCAATGAGGCACTGAAGAATGAATTGTGCTAAAATTAACTCAAGGGTCAGCTTGTCTGGATGAGCATAACTTTGGTTGAGATTTTTCTTCCTTAAAAAAGGTTTCAAAGCACCAGTGAATTACGAAAAAGCATGCGTATTTATCCTCACAGTGAGTTGAGTGGCGAAAGAGCTCGCAAACTGCATTCCCCAAAGCATGTGATTCAATTTTTTTTGAAAACAACTAAAAAGAATAAAGCTAGAGAAGCTACAGATTCTCACTTCAGGCTGGCAAAGCAGCAGCTCTTTGCAGAAGGAACAGGCAGAGCAGACGTCCACTGGGGAGCCAGTCCTGGCCTTGGCTTTCCAGCTCAGAGTGTGTGATCCTGGATTCACAGCTCAGAGGACAAAAAAAAGAGAGAAAGAAATAGACAAGGAAGGAGAGAAGACAAGAGAAAAGGAGGGAGGAAGAGAAGACTGGAAAAGCGGGGGCAGACAGGCAGGCAGGTAGACAGGGAGACTAGTGAAACATTTGATTCTCCAGTTAAACACGCTGGGGGACAAACAAGCCTCCCTGGGCAACCCCAGAACAGGCCAAGGAAGTGTTCCTCTACCCTAGGTTAGAAAACACAAAGTTCAAAGGTCAATAGCTCACTCAGAATTATCGGGGTTACAACTTACAGTGACTTAAGAGTACATGAGTCACACAAACATGAAAATATGTATTTTACACACAGAACATGAGACGAGCAGAAGGGGCTCCCAACAGCACAGCATCGTCACGAGTTTCAAGCAAGATTATTTCATACAGTGGGAAGTATCACTCAGTATCCCTCTCCCAACATACACGATTTACAAGGTATTATTAGTGTTTAAAATCCAAACTTAGGAAAGCACAATTAATTCTCAATAGTTTTATATGACTCCAAAGAATTTTGCAACAGTCATCAGAAAAAACTCGTTTCATGATATTGTGATGAGACAGTGAATTATTAGAAAAAAATTTTAACATTATGCAATCATTATCACCATAACTACCATAATTACCAACTATGCTCCTGCCTCACAAGAACACTTCTTTCTATCCATTAAAAGCAAGCACCTTTCTATAATTATTTACCTATACATGGCATTGGGCCTTAGGCATTTAAACAGTATAAATTTCTTAAGAAACATGATTTTTTTCCTCAAAGCTAAAAATCCATAAATGCCTCCAACCATTTGCCAATCAGTAGTTCGCTGTACACATCACTCAAGTGTACACTACACAAGTGAACAGCTGTCACCCAGAGCAGGGTGCAGGGGACACTCTGTGTGCAGCACAAGAAAGCCCTGGGTCAGTGGTCTGCAGCCAGGTACCGGCTGAGATCAGAGGACAACACGCTGAGCTAACCAAACTAGAACTCCTGACCTTTGGTTAGAGGATTTCTAAGAAACAAAAGCTGTACCTAGCCAAGGCAGTAGCTATGACCCAAGGGGCGAAAAAGGGTACTAACGTAAAACAGGAGCATTTTTAAAGACTCGCTGGTCATTTAAAACTCAATGGCACTTTTTCAACAAACATCAGTTTTCTGTGCCAATTTTCAGGCCAACTTGACCTTGATTTTTTTTTTTTTTTTTTTTTTGAGACAGGGTCTTGCTATGCAGTTCAGGCTGACCTTGAGCTCACTTTGTAGCCCAGGCTGGTTTCAAACTTTCAATGATCCTCCTGCCTCAGCCTCCCAAGTGCTATGATTACAGGCGTGCGTCACCATGCCCAGCTTTACCTTGAATTTTGCCAGCCAAATTTATCTCCTGATGTTGGCTAGCTGATAACAATCTCTCAATTCCTGACCTACACTAATACTGCCTGTTTTCATGTAGCTCTTAAATGCTTCCTAAATCTGACTGCAAAGAACACTGCACTAATACCTGGGCACAACGTCCCCAGCCCATTCATCTACAAGGTGCTCTGGGTTCCCATTCGGAATTCAGCCGTTATTGACAAATGTAAGATTGAAAAAGAGTGAATGGATGATTCCATTATTTTTAAAGGAGATAATAACCATTAATCAGAAAATATAACAATGAATTACCCAACAGCATCATGAATCCTACACAGGATTCAGTTCTAGCACATACTTCTGTGTCCATCACAGCAATTAGTCCTTAAAAGTTGTACTTAAAATGTAAATCTTTAATAAACTTCAAAATAATTTATTGAGACGTCATCTAGAAACCTACTGATTACGGGCTGCAGACAGAGGCCAGAGGCCTCCACAGTGTTATCCACAGGCCACTGCGTCTCGGGCCGCGACGAGCACAGTCCACAGAGGGAGAAGGCACTTGTCTTCCGGAAAGTCACCTCAGCACAGGGCAGGCCTGGTCATGCGAGGGCGTTTGGGCGTGAGGCCAGAGGATGAGCATGCGAGGGGCTCTCTCCAGCCCTTCACCTACAGCACCACAAAGCTCAGGATATACTCTAGCAGTTTCTGCCGGTTGCATTGAGGTAGGAAAGTGCTGCTCAGTTCTAAAACAGATACTCTCTTCTGCTTGGTCTCTTTGAAAACCTGAAGAGAAAACTTAGAGTAAATTAAAAGGAAAAAGAAAAAGAAAAAAAAGGGAAGTGAACATTCCTGTCACCAAGCCTGACTGCACTGTGTCCTAGACTCTGAAAGGCAGTAAAAGCCCACGAAGCCGAGGGCTATGGGCAGCAAATGTGGCTGTGACACGTGTGTGCACACGAGGAGGGTGCGTGCAGCTATGGGGGGGCTGCCCCACGTTCAATCAGTACACTATGCTTCACACTTGTTGCTACATGTCCCCCAGGGAATGCCACAGTGAGGGGACCTGGAACACTCCTGCCAATACTAGTAAAAGTGCAAGGGTTGATGTTAACAACCAAAAATCATACAGAATGATGAAAAGCTAAGTAATAACAAGTTCTGGAGGGATTCTGGAAAAAATGGAACCCTTCTCCACTGTGGTGGGAATACAAATTAGTGCAGTCCCTGCAGAAATCCATGTGGACTACTATTATGGACTACTGGACTATATTGGAATATTTTGCTGAATTCACACACCTACAATATTTAAATGACAATGGAATACCCATCTCTGACAAAACTAAACAAAAAAGGGATACAAATGAAGGGCCATTTTGTATATGTGTATTCAAAATAGGACAGATACACAGCTACTTTCTCTTAATTCACTGAATAGAAAGATTTGTACTAATAGTGTTTGTAGACAGGATATCCTGTGTGCATCTTATACTATGAATAACCACTATGAAGAAAACAATATGTAATGTATTAATTACTGAAAGTATCCTACTAATCGGTTTTGGAACTGTCTCATTGCTATTTCTTTCTCAGTAAAATAAATTATTAAAATAAAATTTAAAAAAAGAAATCCGTGTGGAGATTCCTCAGAAAACTAGGACTGGAGTCCATTCAACCTAGCCATTCCCCTTCTGGGAATCTGCCCAGAAGAATTAAAAGCATCGCACCACATCGATACAGGCACGCCCATCTTTATAGCAGCACTGTTTGCACTAGCTCAATCTTGCAAACAGCTCAAGCGCCCATCAGCGGATACAGCTGTGGTTGGCTTACACTGTGGAGGACCGCGCTGCCTTAGGGAAGGGTATGCTCAAGACAGTTCCAGGAAACAGGTGCACCTTGAGTGCGTCTTCTCAAGTGAAATAAACTGGACACATGTGTGTAAATACCTCACGATTTCCCTGGTGTGAGAAGCAGAAAGTGTAAATAAGGACTGAAACTGGGCACTAGATATTGTGACATAGAAAAGGTTCAAGCGGAACAAGGCAGAAGAGAGGAGAAAAGTTAAAAAAAAGAGTGAGAAAAAAAGAAAAACCGGGAAGCAAAGCTTCTGTAAATGGGGAGGGAGGAGGGATGGAAGGGAGCACAGAGGAATGGGAGAAAAAGCACGTTATGTCAGGTGTGGGGCTAATGCTCTATGATGAATGTGATCATTACATCCATCTAAAATGTACCAATAAATCTGATTTTAAAAATGAATAATTAAAAGCCAAACTTGCAGAAGCACCTTGAAACATACCAATATCTATTACATATAAACAGTAAGGAATAAACGTAAAACCAGCAAAATTCAGGGATAGTCAAAAAATCCATGCTGAAGGGCATCTCCTTCAGCCTGCTCCTTGCCATCCTTGTTTCCAAGTCCTCTCACCAGAACTATTAGAAAGGGCTTCTCCTGAGGTGCCCTCCAGCACAGAGGGAGACAAGCACATGATCTAGGAACAAGAGTGAGCACAGTGTCTTTGGCATAAACAGTAAACACCTACCCCAATATCCTTAAACATCTTCACAGCATTCTTCACGAGACAGTATGTGGCACTCTCGGCTGCAGAGAAGCGAGAAAACCCAGTCAGTGTGCAGGTCCAGTGTGAGCGCAGTCCTAGTGTCCGGAGCCATCTGCACGTGCATGTGCAGCAGAGAGGAGCCAGCAGCCCGGGCAAGCTCCACCTCTGCTACTGGACACCTCTGAGGCCACTTCCAAATTATCTGCTGTTTCTTTAAACCTACTCTTGTCTTTTAAGAAGCTGAAGGGAGCAGAGAGAAAGGAGGGAGGGAAGGAAAGAGAGCTACCTAAGGCATTCTTCCCACAGGGTTTGTGAAAACAAGGTGTATACATTCTATGGACTTCAGAGTGACACATAAATGACCCCTCTACCCGTGAAGCCAAAAGCAGCACAAGTCTACGGGTCAGGTAACAAGAATTCTAAACCCATGTCTGGCCATCAACAAGGTATATGAACTCGGTTTCCTCATCCAAATAGTAAAATGACTAAATTATCTCTAGATCCCCCTTGCTCTAAAATTTGATTCAACATAATTTTAGTTTCAAGGATAACTATCTAAAATGTTATCTGCGCACCAAACACTACTCTTGGAAAAAAGACGACAAAACGGCAACACTCTACAAGATGGTCAGGTGTGGAGCTACTGAAACGTCTTGTGGGAACGCAAGCTGGCACAGCACCTATGGTGCCTACCAAAGCTGAACAGGCCCACAGGCCACACCCAGGCAATTCCATCCCTGTATCTGCACAGAGGCGTGCATACGACCAACACAAAGAGAACGCGCACACAGCCCTCTATGCCAGCAGACCTGAGCTGCAACAACCCAAACACCCATCACCAGCAGAATGAGTACAATGTGGTGAACATGCATCGGAACGCAGCACAGCAGGAAAAAAAACTGCATCCAACATGGATGAACCTCACAAACAATGTTAAGTGAGGAAAGCCCGATAGAAGAGTCTATAACTTGTTTAATTTAATACGACATATCAAAGCAGATAACACTAATGATCTACAGAGATGCCAGGATAAGTCTGCATTTTTCTAATTTTCTATAAATAGATTTCTATAACATTTTTTGACAGTTTTAAAAAGAGGTCAAAAAGGTTCCCTAACATACCATAAACTGCAATATTTCTTTCTGTCCTGGTTAGCAGGTACTTGTGCAGCTTTTGCAGATATTCAGGCTCAGGAACAGGACCACTGAAGTTGTGAACAAAGATGGCGGCAGAGCTGTAGGCCTCCAGCAAGGGCCCAAGGAGCCGCTGCAGGAAGGCAATGAACTGCTGGTGCTCCTTGGACTGGCTCACCTGAGGGCGCAAGAGAAGAGATGAGGGCGCAGGGAAGGAACAAGAGATGTAAAGCAAGCTGCCAAGGATGTTCTTTAAAGAACCAGGCAGGTGAGAAGGTAACCACTCACACAGCACTACACGCAAGTAGCCTACTGCTCCTCTTGCGAGAATCTGTGGTAAGTAACTATAACTACTGACGCTGAAAATAGCAACTACTGATGAAAATGGCTGATCCTGTTCTTTCATGCAATCATTCACTTTTAGTGTTTGAAGCTTGATTTCCTTGATCACCTAGAAGACCTTTTCATAACTGAATGACATGATTATGACACACTGTCATGACTGAAAATAGCTGCTGCTGAGGCTGAGCTCTGCAGCCACTCAAGTATACCCGGGGCCACCAAGACCACCTCAGGCCCTCCCCGGCTCCCACTCTCTGCCCTCCCTGGGCCTTCACCGCAGTCTGGCACCATGGAGGGGTAAGGCCATAGTAAAAGGTGCCTCTCACTGTCCCCCTCAAGACACACAGGCTCACTTAAGCCTCTTCATGTGTGGAAGCAAGACCACTGCCTACTCCCGAATTTGATAATACTCAAATAGTTTCTAAGTGTCACTTGAAAATAAAAATATTGCCTCACAGGAAGCAGAAGCACAGGTAAATAAGCAGGCACCGTGCATTTTGTAAAAGGGACCATCTGTGGCCTCCTTCCTCCTGACTTTCCAACCCTCATTTCCTTTCCACTCACCAATCTCCAAACTAGCTAGAAGGTACCAGCCTGGAGAGACGGTGCATTAGATACAAATGACTGGACCAGCGTGCGACCTCATCTAGTTGTACTATGAGCCACCTCATCACTGTGAAATACCCGAGTTCTTCACCAAAGTACCTTCAGGTAGCAATCTCGCTGCTCCTCACCAAAATCACTGTCTTCATCTTCTTCATCACTCCTCCAAGACAAAGGCTCCGGAAGCTTCTTGTCCCACTGCTGCTCTGCAAGACCAGGACTGATATCTTCCTGCTCATCTTGCTACGCCAAGGAGATGGCCAACAGTAAAGGAATATGCATGGACACGAGGAGAGCTGCCCGGCCGGAGCCCAGGCAAGGCAGGCCTTTCTTCTCCGTCCCCTCCCGAGGTTCAGCCATCCCCATCACCTCCCTGTCCAGGCTCACAACCACCCAGCAAGAGCAGGGGAGGAAGAAATATAGAGGCTTGGAGAGGTGGGTACAAGACAGATCAAATAAAAATACTCTCACATCTTCTAAACTGATACCTACCTACCTCCCCAGGCCCTCCTCTCTTCACTAAATCTCTGGAAGCTAAAAATCTCCTAAGAGGAACATGCATTTGTGCAGGCTGTGAGCATACCAATATGCACATCTCATCTTAGAATGCAACTTCTGAGACGTGTGCTAGGTAATACCACTTAGACAAAAGAAACTGAAACGTTAATCCCCAAAGACGTTTACTGTCCTCCTTGCTATTCCTCTCCCCTCTCATTTGGGCATGACTATAGAATACATAATTATTAAGTAAAATACTGGTAGGTATAGTGACTTAAGAAAATGAAGAGCAAGAAACTAAATGACAAATTAAGGAAGACGTCCTCTTACCTCTGCCACTGTAAGGATGCCGTACTGAATAAACCTTCCTACTGTTTCATGGCAAACTTGGTAAAACGTCTGGCAGGGCTGAAAAGAAAAGTCATGGCAACCTAAGTGTCACTGTTCTGCACTTCTCTTCTCAAAGACAAATGCTTATGACGCAGCCACCAAATCCATGCACTCAGTCGCCTAATTCCACACAAGCCCTGTGATTTCCAGCGCTCACTCTTGATAAACGCCTAGTGGTGAAAGGCTCAACCAGGGCAGAGCTCTTTCCCCCCCGACCGGCAGCGCACATAACGCAGCACCACCAGCAGGGAGCGATGCCGAGCGCAGTCTCCTCCCCTAGAGGAGCAAATCCTAGGCAGAGTGGCTTCTCAGGACCTGCCATGCTCCTTTTTTTTTGTAAGACAAGCTGTCTGCAAAGCCCATCTTACAGAAAAGACAGTTCACAAACATAGTGAAGGAGAAAGCACAGCACTCCAAAAACTCAGGGCGAACCCAGTCGTACATCCTACAAAACAGCTTCTTCCCCCACGAAGAACCACCCACCAACCACATAGAAAGAGGATGCAAAGGGGCTATACTCCAAACTTAGGTGCTCATAAAAGGCCCAAGACGCACTCACACGGGGAAAGAGAATGTTAGAATGCAAATAAAATACGGTTCTATTTGACAATTTTGAGGGGGAAAATACATTACTTAAAATATGTGCCCCTTCCAAATGTCTAAAAGTGCTGCTACAGACACACACTTGTACTGCGGAACCGCAGCTCCCTAGTCACAAACTGACGGGGTATTAAACAGAAGGCTATTAAAATGGCTCTGACACTCGTCACCTGTGGTTTACCAACTGCAGGTGGGTGAGTTAATTATTGACAAACACTGCCCCAGAGACTCCTGCACAGCACAGGCACAGGAACTTGGGCTCTGACCAACTGAGCTGGCTCAACAATCTGTCTTCTCACGCCTCAGCCGCATGAAGGCTTCATGGGGCGATGCGCCAGATGCCAATCGAGCTAGCTACTGCTGAACTGGTTTGGTGGGCACTGACAGCCATGCTGAGAGCAAAAGCTCGCAAGAACAGCCAAGAGTTTCGTAACAAATAAAGACAGCTCATGTTTTCCCATGAAATGTCAAATGAGAGACACCAAGTAACCAGGAAGAGCCCTCACTCACGAGAGAAATGGTGCCTTCATTGGAGAGCAGATAGCACAGGCTGGCAGCCTTCCGCACCAACTGCTCCTGGCTCACCATGCTGCCAGAGGGGCCGGTGGGCCCTCCCGAGGCCCTCTTATTCAGAACTGCGTACAGGCTGCAGGCTAAGGAAATAAAAGGCAATAATAAAGTCACTGCCCAAATATCTCCAAGGAAAACTTCAACTAGCCCTGATAACTTGGGTTTACCTTGAGTATTACTTTATCAAAAACAATGGCCCACATTTGCTACAGAACTTCAAATAAAATCCCACAGGATTTGATTCTCCTTAGTCCAAGATCTAAACTACATCAAAGTTCTTTCTAGGAGCTGGCCATATGATAGCTCATTAGATTAAAGTTCCTGCTTAGGCAGACACAGGGGCCAGGGTTCAATCCCCAGCCTGCTATGCTGGCTCTGCTCCCCCCCCCCCCCGAGATGGTGATTGAGACTGGGCATGGTGGCACACACCTGTAATCCCAGCACTTGGGAGACTGAAAACCAGGAAGGATAACTACAAGTCCAATCTGTGTAGTGAGAGCCTGCAAATCCTGTACTAAATATGTTAAAAGAAAGAAAGAACTTTCTGAGAGCTCATTCCCTCTGCTCTCTCTCCTGCACGTTCTCTAATGGCCGAGTCTTGCATCTTCCCTGCCCTGGGTGTCATCTCTGGATTTTCAGCTTCTAACCAGCAAGCCCTTCTACCTCCCCTCCACAATACTAAGTATGCTGCTATGCAAATGTCAATTCAGTAGCTACCTGCCATAGTCAGAAATGGTGACATGGCAACTGGTTACATGTTCATTTGCACACTAAAACTAGAGCAGTGCAACCCTCCAGACAGGGGCCACCCTCCAGAGTGCACCCCGGGATGTGTTTCAGGCCTCTCTACTTCCCAAGAAAAGGGCTGAATATGTTCAGGCCTGACCTACCTATGATAGCCTCCATGATAAAGACATGAAGTACCCCGTTGCTGTAGAAGTTGAGTTCAAAGACGGATGGGACAGTTGTGCTGGGAGTAATAAAAAACTCATCATTCCTGCTGGTGTGAGTGATTGTGACACAGTTCCCCAGGAGCTGTATGGCATGCATGACAACATCTTCTGAATTTCCTGAGAACCCCAGGTCAAAATCACGAGCCAGAACCTCCTCCTTCATCACAAAGAAGTCTTCTACCAATGTGGAGAGATCGATTCCCTAAACAGAAAGAAACGGCGCATCGTCACAGCAGAAAACACACTTTCCAGAAGGCCAAGGGACCAGGATCTCTCGCCCCGGCTTTCCCACAGCTTGTCCTTCTGCACCTAGAGAAGCAGGCCCAGATCACCAATGTAGAGCAAATCAAAGCTACCCTCAAGCTTCAGAACTGTCACTGATATTCCACCTGGTGGAGACTACTTCAGCCACACCACATGACATGAGGATGGAAGGACTACACAAAGAAGGGAAAGCATTCTGACAATGAGAAGCGCTTTTTTGTTTTTAGCAAAAATCCCCTTCTTTTTTAAATTATATTTGATAACCATATACTGGCACTATCTGGTGTTGAGAACATGGCTGTGAATAAGACAGACATGATTTGTCCCATAGTAGAGCTTAGACAAGTGCGCTGCAAAAGGGTACTCTGTATCTGAAATACAAATCAAAGTACTGCCTCTTCACTACCAGGACATAGAATGTGTCAGTGAAGTGCACCTTAGTTATATTTATCCAAGAATGTCTTATTACTACATATATTAAATAACCTGACATTTCCCCCCCTGGACCCCTTTTCCTCTACCAAGTTTGTAAACCCCTTCGGGCAGGTCCTTCTCTTATTTCACTGTTTATCTCACCGCACTAGCTGGGTAGGTCCAAAGCTACGTTAAGTGTCTGAACAGCTGACAAGCATTCCCCGGCTTCAGGCGCCACCAGGGACCTGCCTGTACCTACCTGTCTGTGTCTGTAGAGAAGCAGGCAGGCCACGATGTGGGTGGACATGATGGCACAGGACTTGCTAGCAGCTGCAAGGCAAACACAGAGCTTAGTTCTATGATTTTCTAATATAGCTGAAGCCCTTTTAAGGCATGTGAATTGTAATCAGGAGCATTTAAAACTATAAAAGCCTCCCACCATATATCCTCTAACTGCAGCTTTCCAAAAGAAAATCACACCATTCCTGAGTGTCGGGAAGATGGAGCCTCCTTAGACACTACTATTCAACACGCCAGTCCACCAGGTCCAGCACCAACGCAGGCCGGAGCATGAGGGTCTGCAGGATCAAGGAGGCCTCCACTCAAGTACCAAGACCCAAAGGACAACCAGTTCCAGAGCTCTGCTTGCCACCCCTTCGTCATGCATTTTCACTCACTCTTTGCCACCCCTTTGTCATGCATTTTTCACTCACTCTCCTTCCCCACTTTAATAGGACAGGGCAGTAAAGACAATAAAAGGAGACTTGAGGTCAAAAAAACCTGGGCTCAAATCCTATCCTCAATTATAATTCATTTCACAACTTGGGAAAAATTACATAAGTTTCTGAGCCACAGTTTCAAAAATACCACACACCTCACCATGTGAGAAGGAAGTAAGGTCCAGGCAAGAACTCACAGCAGGGGGTACTCAATACAGCTTCACCCTCTCTCCTACCTGGCCCAGAGATGAAGATGGGCACAGAATTGCTTTGATATCACCCAAGTGCACCCTAAGCACTATGAATTGTAGAAAATTATCATACAGATAACCATGTGAATTTCTATAGAATAATTTGAAATATTACTTATGAGTTTTCTGAGCAATTACAGTGAATTCACAAATCACCCCTAATTGAAGTTTTCAGTGTTTGAAAAAAAAATTAAGTACCATATTTACATCATTAAAAATACTATTTATGAAGAGGTCTTTAAAAGATTAGAAAATGTGTCATCAGTGGAAAATAGCACAATACAAAGCTGTTGAAATATTTTTAGAGATCTGACAGCAATACCACTGGCTACTGGGGTAGCAAATTTATTACTTACTTCACCTCTATCCAACTTTTCAATACTTAACATGTATTACTTTCTGCATCCAGATCATGGGCAGGGGAGACACACAATCAGATATGCTTAGGAATGAGGACTTCGTGCTGGGGACACTGCACAGTAGTACAGCACCTGCCTGGCATCTGTGTGGCTCTGAGTTCCACCCCTCAATACCTCAGAAAGCAAAAGAGTCCTCTGGTGGAATCAAAGTAAGAAAAGGAGGAGCCAGGATGGAAGGAGTGAGCTGAAGGAAACAGCCCTCCATCACAGCATCCGCACCACGACTGGGTCGGCACAGGCATGGCGAAAAGACCTGGGGCTGGCTGAGTGCTAGCACCAGAACACAGGTCCAGGCTTTCGAGCGGCCTCTCTGATGGGGTACAAGCTGCACTGAAAGAAGGCTTGCGATGCCTAACTCACGCTACCCTCGGCTCCGAGCTGAAGTGCAGTGTTTCTGCCCTGCTACTCCACCACGCAGACCAGAAACCCTCTGAGTACAGAACCATAAAGGCCTCCGTTTATGTTCCCCTCAGCTACAACACAACCTTAGTGTGAGAGCTATTTATTATTTCCTGAATAAAAATACTCATCAGGTCAGAGGAGGAAGGGACATACACATATAAACGTACCAGTTGTACCTCTAATTAGTTGAAAAACACACTCATAAGCAAAGGAGGCCACAAATAATTTGGATAAAACTGTTAAATAAAAAGACAAGAACTCCTACCACACGAGCAACTAATGCTCACAAAATGCTGGGTGAAATTTTACTCCTACTCCCTCAAATCCCCCAATATCACCTTCTTTCCAATACTCTACCTCTTACCACTGAGAGATTCAGTAACTGGCCAGAATGGCAAACTAACCTCAGCAGATTCTGACACCCACGAGATGTACATGGCACCATGTCAAACCTGAATTGCAGAACTAAAGACTGCAGAGTTCTACTTACTGAACAGAATGTGCTCAGCCAGATTTGCAATCAGCCTTCTTCGGAAGGCTTCATCCGCTGCATTGCGGGCCTCGTTGCTGGACATGTCTATGCCTTCAGCAGCAGCATCATTAGGTCTGAAAAGATTTAAAATCAGTCTCCTACAGCCCCACCGCTTTGCAGGGCAACTGCATGGAGTGATCTATACATGGACGGGCTACTTTAAATTATTACAAATTTTAACTTAAGCCACAGATTATTTCAATGGGTTGTTTCCTTCCCTAATATACTTTTTTTTTTTTTTTTTTTTTTTTTTTTGTTCCGAATGCCTGCAGGGCAGGTCTGGCTGGCTAGAGTACTGTGGGGATCAAACTACAGCAACCTGAGGCTGACAGGTTTGTGGAAGTAGTCACTTAAAGAACTGAGCTAGGGCCAGGCCCCCTATACTTTATTATTTAAACATACTCTCAGGTAAAGTATGTTATTTAGTTATTAGTAGGGAGTCCATTGGTATAATTAAATTCAAAATTCACTGCAGAAAGCAAAGCAGCATGTTTTAAGACATGTCTGAAAACTTAGAACCTTCACTGATTAAAGGAAAAATATCATCTCAAATTTCTCTAAGTTATAATTCAGTCTGAATTCTGGAAAATTCAAAAAGAAGATAGTGAGACCCTGTACACCCTATAGACCCTTTCCTAAATACATTTTAAAAACCACACACACACACACACACACACACACACACACACACTTCAATATCCTTAATCATATCAAAAGAAACAATACTCCAGTTAGGAAATGAGTAAGGAGCAGCATGTTCTTAATCAAGTTAATGAATCTACTTTTCCCCACAATTATTAGAAATAATAGTTAATTGAGTGAAAGAAAGAACAAACAAACGAATGAACAAACGAAGCTACAAACCTTACCTTGCAGGAAGGATAGCTGGTAACAACGCTTGCTCCAGAGTGAGGGGAGCAGACACGGGCTTCTGATTCTGACTTTCTAAATACTCCTGGGGGAGGGAGTGGGGATCATGATCAGTAGTCTTACAGTCTCACTTTCATGTTAACGAAGGAAATATATTTTGATCTTCAAAGGTTAAAACTGTTTATACATAAGCCATGCTACGGAGCACGGGAATATGTTCTCTATCCTAGACAATCTTCAGAAATTCAGAATAACATTCACAGAATATTAAGCATGAAATTTAAGGAATGAAGACACAAAGAACAGAAAGATGCTTAAATTAAATCATTGAAAAATTTTAACTTTTGTCACATCTTCATGGCAATTACTTGACAGTACCAATATTAGTAATAGTAATAACGGTACCAGTGATACTCTTTGACGACAAAGCAGCAACCTGAGAGCCACGTAATGTTCAAAAGAACTTCAGCTGGGGAGATAGCTCAGCGGCTTAGTGCCTGCCTGGCGAGTACTAGGTCCTGACTTCGATCCCCAGTACCAAAACACAAAATAAAAGAATGTTTGGGACAGGGAGATAGCTCAGTAGAATAAGCACTTGCCTGGCAAGCACAAGGTCCTGAGTTCAATCCCTGGTACTGCACAAAAAAAAAAAGAACTTCACTCCAAGAGCAAACCGTATTAAAGTGGAGAAATTAGGCCAGGGAGGTAGCTCAGCGGCACAGCACCTGCCTGGCAAATGCAAGGTCCTGAGTTTGATCCCCAATAAAACAAAACAAAAAAAAAAAAAAAAAAAAAAAAAAAAGCAGAAAAATTGGGCAACAGTTAAAAATAAAAATAAAAAACCAAAGAACATGTGGCAAAAAATGGTGAAGTTCCTCTTAAGCTGAAAGCATTTAAGACTAGAAAACATGGAACATGACAGCACAGAGGCAGAACCTTTTAAAGCTGAGGCAAAGACTAGAATAGAAGTAAGGAAGCCCTCTGCTCCTTTCCCTCAGGTTCCCTACCACCCTTTTCTTTCTCCCTGGCTAATCTGGAAATTTTAAGAATCTAAAAGGACCTCAGTGAGCTGACACTCCCAGACCTTACTGAGGATGACACTCTCGGGCCATCTGGGCCCTGTATTCTGCTCAGGAGGCTGCAGCATCGCCCTAACTATCAGTTCTGCCCTGCTTATAGCAGTGAGCGTTGAGCCTCTGATCTTCCAAAGACAGGCATGCTCTGGTGGAAAGCTGATGACGCGCCATCTTTACAAGAGTCCTCATTGCAGAAGAGCAAACAGAGACCCCAGTCACACAGCAGTAAGCATGGAGCCAGGACAGAAGCCCAGGTTTCTGTTCCAGGTCAGCGTTTAGCGTATTTTTTCCAACAGATTCTCACCTTTAAGGAAAACGGTTGGGCAAAATCCACTCTGACATATCCATAGTTTTTTCGTAACATTCTAATAACACCTCTTGCTACACTCCAAAGGCTCTCATTCTTCTTAGGCTTGCCCTAATTTCAACAGCAAAAACAAAGCAAGACTATAAGAAATAAAGTTAATATACATATATAAACATTTATATATATATATATATATATGTATATATATATATGTCATATATATTTATATATTCTTTTTCCAAAGAATTTGTTTATAGAAACCATAGGTTCATCTTGAAGATTAATGAATACAGAAGAAAAATAAATGTTTCATTAATTGAGACCTGTCAGAAAATGTTTATTATTCAAAGATGCTACAAGAGACAAAATGTCGTTAGGTGAGTAATTCAGTCAATGGAAAGCGTTTAACACTAGTTCATTTAGTACAGTGTTCACAGAACTCACAGATTTATAACTGTAAGCCACTGATGGGCAAAATGACATTACACCCTGAAACACTGCTCTCAGTTCTCAGACAGAAATAAGATACCAAAGAAGCCACTGATCTGAGGTCTGCTGATCACTGGAGTATAAATACCTAACTTTAAACATTAAAGGCCAAAGTCAGCTTCAAGTGGCCTTTGAGCTCATTATTCATTTAGAAAGCATCTGCTGGGTATCTACAGAAGGCACAGTGACAACCCGAGACACAGAACAAGCAGGGTAAATAAACATCAGGGACACACAGTGACACCCATGGAGAAGAATTCCGTCCACGTAATCACCTCAGTCTACCACTTAATATCTTAAGCCTATATAGTTGTCAAGCATCCTTGGACTTTTAATAAGTTTGAAGCTAGAATTCTGAAATAAGCACTTTGCCCAAGACCTCCATGCTGAAGCAGAACAAAATGAAATTCCTGGAGCACCCTTATACTGCTGGTAGAAGGTGCAAACTAGTAAAACAACTTCTTACCAACTGCTAAAGTGATGGACAGCATTTACTAACCCTGCACACACATATCATCACAATTATACATATACATTGTTTTCTCTATCAATTCTTTTCTAGGAAACTAACCAGCAAAACATGTAACTTCCAAAAGAAATGTGTAAGAATGACTATAAACAAACTTTTTCAAACAGTACAATAAATTGAAGTTTATTCACATTAGAGTACTAAACAATTATGAGAAGAGGGCAAGCCTATATAGCAATGTGAATGAATCGCACCAACATCTCGGCTTGAGCAATGGAAACCAGATGCCAAGAGGAGAACCCACCATAGCACGGGTTGCAGTACAAAAGTCATCACGTCAGCAGTGGCCTGGGGAGACTAAGCCATTTATGTGAAGCTCGGTATGGACGAAACTAATCTGCTGTGTCCGAACTCGGTCAAGCGGTTATCCCTGAGGGGTGGACAGCAGGAAGGGTGCCAGGGGAAGTGTTGCAGCCCCGATAATATTATTCCTTGTTCATGCAACAGCCAGCTAGCTAGGCCGTGTTCACTGCACCGCAACTGCATCTGCATGCTCATGACTTGTGCATTCTTTGATAACTACTAGACTTGGATTTAAAAAAGCACTGAAAAAAATTACTTCTCACATTAATATATCATGCTTTGCTGATACAACGCCACAGTTCTTCAGGTTCATTAAAGTCATCACGTCAGCAGTGGCCTGGGGGAGTAAGCCACCACACGGCCATGCCACTTCCTCTCAACAGATTCTTCCCAGGCTCACAACAGAGACAAAGCATACTCACCATGCCCGCCCACCCACCTGTGTTCAATGCTCTGAAATTAGTGAGCACCGAGAAAATGCAGGTAGCTGGTTCTAAAAGTAAATCTAAATGCCAACAGAAAATGTGAAAAGCAAAGAAAACTTTTACGTAGGTAATTGTCTCACCAGTTGTTCGCCATTGTAGTGACCCTCAATTATCCGATCGTAGGAGATTCCCACAGGTATTATCAAGATGTCTGGGATTGTATTGCTAGACAGAGTGTCGACCACCACGGACAAAAGTCCTGCCCGAGCACAGGAGGTCCTCCCACTCCTGGACCGTGTGCCTTCCAGGAAAATCTCCAAGAACTGCTGTTGCCGGAGTAGCTCAACTATGTGCTAGATATAACAGGAAAGCATGAATTTAAAATCCTTTAGCTTAGAATGAGCTCAGAAAAATTAAATATTAAGACAAAACTAACTTTATTACTGACAAAATATTTCACCCACACCAAATACAGCACAGCAGCTCTGCCAAGCTCATATTTTAATGACTAAAAAGCATCAAACTCATTGCTAAGCAATAATCATTCAAATTACTCTAGAACAGTTTTCCTAAGTTTCAACTCAATCTAGTCTTTCTCCTTCCACCACAATAGCTAACATAATGGCTTTAAGGATAATCAGGGATCATACGCACCCCATGGAGCAGAGCTCTATAGAGAATATCTTTCCGCCCATCTGGCGTTTCATCAAGCCTCCGACGTATGAAAAAGCCCCCAAGCTTATGGATCAAGGTACTGTAAATTCGAGAATACATGAATTATTTTTAAGGAAAACTATAAAAAGGATATAAAATTCCAAACATCTGCTGTTTAGATATAAACCACATGTGCTGTTTGAGCGCAGACAGCAGAAGCGTAGACTTCCTGTCACTGACGTGGTTGGCTCGCTTACACTCCTTGGCAGCCTGTAAGGACTGCTCCGCAGAACAAAGCTTGACTGCAGCGCTTCCAACCCACGGGGTCTGCGCAATACATCACCCCACGGGGGCGACAGGGCAGACTTTAAGAGGACAATGGAACACCTCTAAATTTTAAACCCTCTTCAGTCTCATGGCACACAGCCTTCGACATGCTGCAATCTGTTCACGGCATGTTCACTACAAAATGAACAAAAGCTCCTCTGAGAAAATGCTCTCAAGTAATTTAAAGAGGTGAGATAAGAACAATTTTATCAAACTAAAGCCAAGCATAATCATCTCTACAAAACATAAAACAAATGTGTTTTGTTTACACATACACAGAATCACAATTACCTTTACAACCCTATTTCTTTTTCTATAACACAGATGAATTCTGACATGAAGCTGAAATTTTGTAAGCCAGTGTTCCCAAACTCACAGCCTCTTCCTACTCTATTCAAATAGAATGATGATATAAATAAGAAATAAATATCAAGAGCGATAGTGTATTAAATATTAATATACACTTTTAGTGGCCTTACAGTCAGTATAAGGAGGCCGCAGTGCAACACTGCCAAAGCTTAATATCACTCCTTGAAATAAATTCATTATGAATGAGATGAGCTATTTACAAAACTAATGCAGTGTTTGTGACTTTGTAGGCTGGAATGTAACAAAGTAAAGCCCCAAATAAATAGGCTATTATCTAGTGCTGAGTCTGAAGGAATCTACAGTTGGCTATCAGAGGGAAGAGGGAGCTAAGTGTGGACTAAAAAGTTCATGAAAATAAAATCTACTTATAAGAAATTACGATGCACTAAGGACTTTCAACAGATCCTAGCTGAGAGCCACACATGACAGTAGGGTTATATGAGTTATCCGACTACTCCAGGCAAGGCGTGTCTGCGCCCTGACAGAATGTTCTAGTGTCTTTCTCATTTGGCTTCCCAGGTTTCTTGACACTGGCAAAGGTGCTCAGGAGAGTCCACGGGTGTTCTAATCCCTGGAAGGGCATGTCTGCCCTGTAGGGTTCTATCACAGTATCCTACAGCTAGGTCTCCATTTCACATTCCCATCTGGAGTATAAGCTATTTGGTAGCGAAGACTATGTGTCTTTTTCGCTCTTGCCTAACCCACAGCTGGATAAGTATCACTGACAGCATGAATGAATGGGTTCCTTCGGCTGGTCACGTGGATCTGAACGTTAACAGAGCTCTCAGAGCCTAGAGAACACCAAGCAGGCATTAAGGAGCCGCTCCATGGATCCTAGGGCTGAAGCCCAGATTTAGCAGCACACAGAGGTGATAATGTCACATGAACCTACCTGCACAACCCCAGTCCACTTCCCTTCTAATGTTTCTGTAGATTTATCCACCTCTTCCTTCTATTCACAGAGCTCACCTTAGAAGTGTTTTGTGCTTTGAAGCTCAAAAGTTCAATTTCACAAACCAGCTCAACCTGCGCCTCGCTAATCCTTCACTGGTGATCAGACCCACCGTCTCCCCAGCTGCCTAGAGGGAACATCTGGCGCCTCACCGGCCTCCTTTTCCCTTCAATGGAGGCCCAAATCTAGACCAGCACTGAGTCTTCTAAAGTTACCTCACTAAGTACTTTTCAAATGTGTATACTCCTCTTAACACTGCCGTACTTTTAACTTAAACCTTCATCTTTTGGCTAAACCAGTGAGGGTGAACCTTTCAGAGCTTTCAACAACACGAACCACCTGCTGCAGGATGCATACCATGCCACGGGCTCACCACCTAAACTAACCTGACAGGATCTGAATTAATTTAGCTCCTTCTAACCCAGGAAGATCTTCCAAAATGCAAATGTGAAAGGTTATAACCCACATACAGGACAGACCTAACTCTTGGCTTGGAACTTGTTTGGCTGCCACTCTCATGACCCACGCAGCCCCCAACCCAGTCTCTGATCCTTCCTCCCACATCCTACATTCTAACTCCACCTACTCATCCAACACTTACCAACCACACCGTGCTTTTGACTCTGCCTTTGCAAATACAATCACCCCTGAATGGAATGCACTGCATTAGCTAAAAACCACTATAAATCACCTTAAATGTTACATTGTACTCTGCACTAGTCTACTAAATCATGCAGTCATAGTAGCAGTGACAGCTGTCACCAGCACACCAGCACATCGCCTCCCTACTGACAGCCCAATAATCTGCCATCATGCCCTTCTAATTGTCTTGTACTCACCTGATAAATACTGCCCATCACATTAGGTTGTCATAGTTCATCAAACATCCCAAATAAAGTATACAAATAATTGTAATAACCTTAATGTTATTTTGTATCACCTAAATTTTATACAACAAATAAGCACTTCTGAAGCCAGGAATGGTGGCTCAGGCCTGTAATCCCAGCATCCAAGAGGCTGAGGCAGGAGGATCATAGCAAGTTCGAGACCAGCCTGGGCTACAATGCAAGCTCAAGGCCAGGCTGAACTGCACAGTAAGATGTTATCTCAAAAAGACAATAAATAACTAAATAAACAAACATTTTTTATAAGAAAAGATTGTTATCTTTAACAATGTATCAAAAAGAATGACATAATTTAAAATTTAATCTTTCAAATTCCATAAAGTTCAAAATAAACTGATCTTACCTGAAGATTGGGATATTGAGATTATTGCCTGAAGCAATATATGGTGCTTTGATGTTATGGCAGAAAAGAATGAAAGTGAGTAGCAGATAGTCAATATGAGATCTATGGACTGGCAGAAATATAAGTGGCAAATTTGTCTAGGAGAGAGAAAAATACCAAATATTAGTTTCAAATATAAAATTGTGTCATTTTGTGACTATTTTGGTTGGAGTGACTCAAACACTGGCAAATGTTTGAAAACATTTTCCAACAATACATTTAACATTATCTCTCAATTTATACTTATTTAGCTAAAGACAAGTACAGCTACAACAACAGAAATGACTTAAGAATAACGAAGGGTTAACGATGACTCAAAAAAAAATGACTATCTTCTGAGAGGCAACTCTAGGTAAAAAGAAGACAGGGGTTTGGAGTCAGACTTGGTTTAAAATGCTGGACAAACCACTATCTGCAATTTGGGATAATTTTTCTTTCTTTTTCTTTTTCTTTTTTTTTTTTTGCAGTACTGGGGATTGAACTCTGGACCTTGAGCTTGCCAGGCAGGTGCTTATGCCCTTGAGCTATCTCCCCAGCCCAAGGGATAATTTCTTAATTTATGTGCACCACTCTTTCCTTAAGTAGGGATTGTCAACTTGGCTCTTAGGATTACTGGCGATACGTTACAAAGGAATCCCACAGACTGCTGACAGTCCCCCCTCATCCCACTCCTCCCCAGATACAGATCTTGAGTTTATCACAGAACAGCAGCTTCCAAATGGGTTGTAAATTAGGGGTATACAAGTGGCAAATCTGTGTACTCATTTTGTATACAAGTGAGTATAAGACATTTCTAAAACTTCTCACATCATTCTACAAATATGGGGAAAATGGAGTGCCAGAGCCCCAGGAATTCTTGCCTCAGTTGCAGCTTTAACCATCTCAAGTTGACCCTTGTGAATCTGAATGTTCCAGAAGAAGCTGTTGAACAGTTTTAGCAGAACCCACCCAGTCAGTCTGAAAGAAAAAACAAAATATAAATCCATATACACATATATTTGTATATGTGATATGTGTATAGTTGACTTGCCTAAAGTTTCTGAATCTGCAACCTAAGTGTACCCCTAAATAATTGACATTCGTGCGTAAAAACCTGCGCGTCTCACTAGCAGAGTTAGTGAGCTAACTAAATGCACACTACTTAGAGAGGTAGCTACCTAGTTGCACTAAAATCACACTGCACTCCAATAATGCGCTGTACTTCAAAGGCAGGTGCCCAAGCTAATACTTACTGAGCAGACGATCCTTCTAGCCCACACAACCATGCCCTTTAAGCCACGAATGTGTGGGGCCTGACTCACTGTCAGGACAGCAGATGTCAGCAATAATAAAAGGACTGCCACCAATTAGCAGAGTGTAAAGCATCTAGAGGCCCACCACAGTGTTCGGTCCTGTTTGCCCAAACACGATGGCTCCGGTTGACTTTAATACCTGATCATCCCCGGTGAGACAGTGGCAACCATCTCTTGAAGGATCTTTTTGGCTTTCTTTTTCACTTTTTGGACAGCTTTGGATTGCTGCTGGGCAGAACCATCAGGATTCAATTCAGCAGCCACCTCAGCAATTGCCTCTTGCACTCTGATTTGAGAATGGAAAGACAATGTAACTGGTTATATGTCACTTTGCATTTTTAATACTTTCTAAATTGCAATTATCAATCATAAGACAAAATCTGCTTTCTCTTCGATATGTGGTTACATATACGAATTAGGTCTTCACATGGGACCTTCCTGGTGGTCTAGCAAAACTAAAGGCCATAGCATTTCTAAATCAATGAATCCCTGAGGAATCTCAAAAACAGGCTTAAGAATTTAATTATCTCAGGCCATGGTGGAACACACTTATAATCTGAGGTCTCAGGCAGCTGAGGCAGGAGGGTCATCAAAAGTTCAAAGACAGCCTGAGATACCTACAGAGTTGAAGGGCAGCCTGGGCTATATAGCGAAACCCAGTCTCAAAAATCAAAACAAAAAAATTCTAATTCAGTGTGTGACAACTATAGGAATTTGGTATGTCCCAGTTATGTTGTGAAGATATAAGTTACACCGTCGGAAAAACAAAAAAGAAAGGTTACCCCTTTGAACAAATAATTTGAAGTTACACAAAAACCCACTGCCAAAGTAGTGCATGATTTTCCCTTTGAAATCCTAATTTACTACTGATTTATACCGTCACCTCATTAGTAGAATTATATGTGAAACTTTCTGAGAGGTATCAAACAGGAACATAAATATTTATAAATGTTTTCAAGTCAAATCAGAATTTTAAGAAGGTATAGCTGACAAACAAAACAGCACTGAGAAATAAGAAGTGAAGTAAAAGGAAAAGTTTAATTCAGTTTTGTAATTTCTTACACCTGACACACAGGAGAAAAAAATTAAACCTTTAAACCCCTTTAACATTCCAGTTACTAGTCAAAAACACAGGAATGGAATGAAACACTCTTGAAGTTTTCAGCTAGAAAAGAGAACATTAAGAACCCAAGAGAATTCCATGTCACTGTTTTCTCCCATCATTGCTACTGATTAATGAAGTACAGTGAAACTCCGCACAGCCCTATAGCCCATTAACATTAAAAGACCAATTCCAAAGACAGATGCACCCCGTCTATTTCTTGAATAGCACTCACAGCACTTAGCCAGGAACGTCTTACAAGTATTTAGCATGACTCTTACACCTTAGAGTTGACATTATCAACCGTTCACTCACTCATTCAATGAGTATGTTCCAGGACTACTACAGTTTTAACAACTCCACAGGGCCTACAAATGGCCCCTGTGAACTGAAGGCAGTTCTTCAATCCACCCTGTCTCTTGTTCCCAAACACAGCTAGATCTCTACACTAGACTACACCAAGGAGGCTAAATAGAACCACCTCCACCCGAACTCCTACATTCATTTATTCTGCCCCCACTGCCTAGGACTGAGCGCCTTGTACTTAGAAGTAATTGGGACGCCCTGGAGGTGGCCTCAAACTCAAAGACTTTCTAGGCTCCTGTCCATCTCTCCTCTCAAATACATAGGAAGGGCCTCTGCAATGTCCTTAGCTGGCTAAGGAAACCTCTCCCAAAAGAAATGCAATTATCTGAAACTCATAACGTCCCTTTCTAAATTCATTACCTGGGAAAAGCTGAGCACCAGAGAAGAGGTAACAAAAAGCCATCACCACAGTTGGCAGACTGTCCACCCATTCTTCTGCAGGTAGCTGCCACAAATTGATTACCTGGACCCTTTGTGTGCATAAGACACCTGCTACGAGAACTGTTCTGCCCCTTACCCAACTCCACCACAGCCCAGGGACTTTGCTCCACCCCTCTAACCCACTCATTCTTGATCCCCTACATATGCCTTATTCTACCTAAAACTATCTCTATTCTCCCATCTGTCTCTCCCCTATGAGAGGATATATAAATTTCGAAACTGCATTGTGTTAGTGGGCGATTGGTCTACTATGACACCCAGGCATGTTGATAAATTCAAATGCCTTCTTCTTCTGTTATCTATTGTTGGTTCACAGCAAGGAACCTTTGGAAAGAAAGGAAAATCACCTCATGCCCCTCCACTTCATTCCATCGAGGTTCCAGCGGCCCCCCTAATGGTAACCATGCTCCTCTAAGATAAGAGCAAACACAGTTTACTATTCCCCTAAGATCTGTGACTACTTCCTACTATAGGAATTTGTCCTAGGTACTCAAAAACTGTTTAATATCAGACTCACTTCTTTTTTGGCATAAGGTGGGAACTGCTATGCCTCCAGGATTAGTCTCACACAGAATTTAATGCCCTGAAACTATGTGCATATCTGAACTCTGACCCACTATTATGGTTTGTGTCCAGCTGTGCTCCAAAGCCTCATGCAGACATGGGGCAGACTTCTAGAGTTTGTGATTAACTCATAATCCACTGGGATTATGGGTGTGAGTACTATTCCCAGCCTGGGGCAGATAGTCTGAATGCAGCTTAAGGGAGACAGGCTGGCTCTCTGCAGCCATTGTTGCTTGCTGCTACTCCTCCATTTCGCTCTTGCTCTTTGCCACCACCTTGGAAGGTTGCTCTCTGCCCTGTGCCGCTCTGCCTTGGAGCCAACTCAGTATGGACTGAAACCTCCAGTGACTGTGAGCTAAACGAACCTTTCCTTCCTTCATTCTGGGTGTCAGATATTTGTCCCAGCAACGAGCAAAAAGTAACTGAGACACCCACGACGTGTCTCTCAGGCTCTAGAGGCCTACTTGGCTACTCATCCATGACCAGAACCGTCCTTCCTATACGGCACCACTCACCAAAACCACCCACTCCCCTTTCCCTCTGTGTCCTTCGAAGCTTAACATTTAATGTTCAAAAATGCCCGTTCCCCCCACAAGCCCCTCCTCCTCCCACCTAGACAACAGAGTCCTCACTCTTACCTGCTGCTGTTCAGCACATTTTCTGTCACATTGGTGGCAAACATGCCCTTATGCACATCCCGCTCTTGAATAAAAAGGACATAAGAAAGACGTCTTGCAAGCCATCCTCGGTGCCTGTAATGCAATTACCAGAAAAGTACTGAAGCAGCGCCCACAGCAAGGGGCTTCAACAAGCCCACAGCTCCTCCCTAAAAGTGAAGCAAATCCCCAGTAACCAGGACTCACGCACAGCAAATTTCCCGGCTAGTCCAGGATGCTAAAGAGCTAATTTTACTTGTAATTTTTTTTTTCATTTGTTCTCAAGTAAAAGTGAAACTCAAAATTTGTGTATTCTCAAATAGTCTTATTTTCCTGAATAGTAACCCTTATATAAAAACAAAAATAAAAATCTGAATTTGTTAATACCACTAAAAAGACTGATATTTTCAATGCTATCTATGTATAGATATAAGCAGATGAACTATGTAACTCACAGCTAGATTTGTGGACTATCAAAGAGAAACCTGGGAGTCTTTCCCTATAATAAAAAGTATTACTATAAAATTCCCTCTAAGATAATCACTGACTCTCAAACTAAATTAAAGCTGAACAGACAAATGAAGTCAAGCAGAACCAGTCCATGATCTGAACCCCTGAACCCTGGATTCAGGAAGTCTGCAGGGTTTATCCTTTAAAAATACACTCAACACATGTAAAGGTTAGAGTACAGTCTTGTCAGTAACAGTAACTACATAATGTTTGCATTGTGGGTTTCAAAATAAGAATGTTATAAGTCCTCGCTGTGTAATGATTTAAATCCGTCTATGATGACTTCAAAGTACTGTGCTATCATATCCCTCCATAGTGACACAGACAGCAAGAGATTTCAAATACAAATTCACTAACTCTGAAAACAAAACTAGTATGATGCGGAACAGTTTATGGATCACTGTTCCTTCATCTCTTGGTTGACACTTTCATTCTCCTTTCCTGTCTCAATATCCTTAAAATTTAGCCCAAGCCAGGAGGCTGCGGTAGGAGGATCACTGAGTTCAAGGACAGCCTGGGCTACATAGTGAGTTTAAGGCCAGTCTGAACTACATAGCAAAAACAAATAAACAAGAAACACACAAACACAAATTTTAACAAAACATATTTTTTAAAAAATGGAGCAATGTGTTTAGTGTTCATTTTAAACTCCTCCATCAGTGAATGGTTCTCAGAACCTACATGAAGCCCAAGCTCTCTAGGACATCTCTTTAAGCATCTAAAGGCGTGTGTGTCCATGAATGAGAGTAAGTGTGCGGGTAAGGTCATGGGTGAGTGTACATGACTGAGAACACAAGAAAGACCATGTGCATGAGCGTAAATGTGCACATGCGTGTGTGGATGTTTATGCTCTCCTTCATATAATAAACTCTGAATACAGCTTGTTTCACTGAGCACTTCTGCATTACCAAGTCAATTTGATCGATGCTTTTTTTTTTTTTTTTTTTTTTAAACATCTTCCAACTATTTTCAACAGGCAAACCTTTGGGTTCATATGTAAAAGTTCTATATTCATAGTACGTATGTAATGACGAAAACACTCTATTCCTTGTGTGATCTTAATCATAGCAACTAAGAAAAAGAAAGAAAGAACACTTCAATGTAGGTGAGCCTTTCCTCCCTCTCAAGTTTAAAGGACAGAGGGATGAGTAGTCTTGGAGTAAGGAAAAAATATATGTATCTCTTGACTTCCACTTTAGTTCTATTTAAAAAAAAAACTCTACCTTTAGCATAGATATATGCAAATAGCATCATTCTCATATGTGAGCTCATCATCTAATTTTTTAACAGTAATTGTGAAGGTCTCAAATCTAAAAGTGATTTCTTGAACCAGCTTTTCATAGAATTTCAAGCAAGCCTGATCACTTGCAGCTACTTCTTATCTACCTCAAGGATCTACTCTTAGAATTATAGGGATTAGCAGTATTTTAGGCTACTGTTTCTCTTGCCTCACAGACGTTCACAGAACCTTCTAATTCTCCTTCCTTGTCCTAAAACCTGAATTCATGTAAAACAAAGGCCCTTTCCTTGGCCTCTGGTACCTACTGACTCATTCTCAAGTACCTGGAATTCGGAGTAAGTCTTAGACAAATAACAAGTCAAAGAACATTTGTCCACTAGATGAAAACATTTCCTAATACCTTGTATTTTAGGCAGATTTTTCTCAATCATTTTTTGGTTTTGTTTTCTTTTTTTGGTACTGGGAATCTAACTTAGAACCTCGCACTTGCCAGGCAGGCACTGTGCCACGGAGCTATATCCCCAGCAAAAAAGTTTAAGGGTTTTTTTGTTTGTATGCTCTGGTATAGGGAATCAACTCAGGACCTTGTACTTGCCAGGCAAGCACTTGAACTGCTGAGCCATATCACAGGCCGTTAGCCAGATTTTAAACATTCATACTTTTTAAAAAATAGTCACAACAGATCATAAGACATTCAAACTGACACTTCTCCTCTGGCAAGTATTTCCCACACTTAAGACACCTCATATGAAAAACTTGTATATGAATGGTTTAAATAACACTGAGCGACATCTACATTCCCATGGAAGTCTATAAGCACAGCGGTGGTTAGTAGTGATAGGTCTCTCTGTTGGTGGTTCTGCTTCCAGTTTTTGGATAAAGCCTCTGTGTCAAAGTTCATATTCTAGACATGCTCAAAAGCAGAGGTTCCTCTTAAAGTATGCTCATTAATATTATGGAGTTTTTCTTTTGAGAGAAGTACCAGGAATTTCTTTTTACCTTGTGTGAGTTTCATTGATATAAATAACATTCCGCAAACCCAAAGATGGGATACTGGGGTTGAAAAATTTTTCCTAAATAAAACAAAATAAACGTTGACATAAATACACAATTGGATGGGTGAAAGGTTCACAGTAATAGTTCTTGACAAGTTCTAAAATCCAAGCATCAGATTAGGCATTGCTTCAAAAATCTAACTGATAAAGAAAAATGTCTTATTGTGCCATTTTTCAGCCAACAAAGGTCACAAACTCAAAATAAGTTCTTAAAACCTTACAGCCAAAGGAAATAGTGCCTCTTCACTTGCTGCCCTGCTCCTCCCCTCCCTTCCAAAAGCGTAGAACATTCAAGGTAAGTTCAAATACACAACACTCTGGAAAGCATCACCCAGTTACTGTCAAATGACCAACTCTCCCAACATATGAGACAAATAAGAATTATTAGCTCTGTTGGAAGGTGAGGAAACGGAGGCTAATAGGACTTAGGGATCAATCTCATGATTGCTCCAAACAGCACTGTCTTTTTATTCCCTGAAATGACTGTCCACTTACTGAGAAAATACACAACAGGTCACTATCTTTACAAGATAATCTAGAGATAGCTCTAAAAGTCTATAGCTTTACTAATATGGACAAAAAGGTTAATGTTTTTCAATTAAATACTTAAAAAAAAAAAAAAAAAACCAGTATAACGTGACCTCAGAAAAAGAAGCAACCTGGGCCTACCAGGTGGGCCCTGCCCCCAGGGCGTGCTGAGACTGTGATTGAGACTGGGCATGGTGGAGCACACCTCTCTTCCCAGCATTTGGAAGGCTATAAACAGGAGAATCACTACAGGTCCCATCTACATAGTGAGACCCTGTAGACCCTGATATATATATATATATATCACAAAATATGTGATATCTCTTTAGAGGAAAAAAAAGTATTTAAAGCAAAGATATCAAATATCAAAATTACTGGGCTGGGGAGATGGCTCAGTAGAGTAAGTGTTTCCCTGGCAAGCGTAAGGGCCTGAGTTGAATACCCAGTTCCACAAAAAAAAAAAAAAAAAGTCTGAACAAAATTACTAAAAAAAATTTAAACAAATTATTAATCAAGTATCTGATACACTATTCTCTATTTGTACTTAAAACTATAATTACCATCAAATAATTTCTTATACTGCCTCCTGATTTAAAAATATACCATAATATTAGACATTAGATAATATATTGACCTAATACTGTAGCTAAGGCACTGTTTTCAATAAACATTCAAAATTAGAATTGAATGCCAAATTTAAAAGAAAAATCATAAGACCTATTTATTTGTTCCCATTGCCCTATGAATCTGACTAGACTTTACTGCTAGACTAGAAATCTCCAAGATCCTTCGATCAGTTCTTGCAACAAGGCAATTTTATAGTACCTGAACCTTTAAGGTGAACTGTGGAGCTCTATGCAAATCTGGAGTTAGCACTATGCAAATCTCCTTAATACCATACTCAGAATTCTACTTCCTGCCAAGTCAACCCTGAGTAGAAAACCCACACAGCACAATCGCTATTCACACAGGTTACAAGCAACCTCTAAAATAGTAGCCATTTCAATGACAGAATTTCTACATCCTAATGACTGGATCTTCCCAGGGAAAACTTCACATCCCAGTGGTTTAGTTTTGTCTTATTTTGTTTCTTTATAGTACTGATGACTAAACCCAGGGCCTTCGCACTCAACTACATCCCTAGTTCTGTTTTTTTATTTTGATACAGGATCTTGTGAAGTAACAAATTGTTCATCCTGGACTCAAACTTATGATCCTCCTGCTTCAGCTCCCCAGAGTGCTGGGATTACAGGTGTGTGCCACCACGCCCAGCCAGACATACCTTTTAAATAGTAATTGTACTACTATTAGAACAGCTATGTGAAACTCTACAACTCCATGCTAACTCTCCCCTCTCACCAACTGCCATCGGAAGGACACCTGTCACCCGCCCCACTCTTTAGGCATGACATGGGTACACAGCTTGTGCTTTTTCACTAAAATGCAAATAACAGACATAAATTGTGCTTCAGTTCATGAACTTCACTGGCTCCAGAATTCTGAGGAAGATGTCTATGGTAATGTTCACCACATAATATGGAATTTACCAGCAGAAGCAAAATTTTGCCACAAACATTTCTGCTCGCAAATTATTCATTAACAGATGTGTTCTTCAACCACCAAATTAGTGTATACCATTCCTTAGGTCTTCAGCCCAACATTTTAGTGACCATACTTCACTACCATAAGATCTACAGACCTCCTCCTGGAATGCAACCAAAGCCAAGAGCAAAACCACACCTTTACCTTTGAATTCTGTCCCACGATCTCTCTCATTTTGCTAGGATTTAATGTTAAGTGTTTAAAGCTCAGCATCTAGAAATACAACAAGGTTCCTACCAATTCTCTATAAGAATTCAATTTGATTCTTCCCTTACAATCACAGTAAAACTTCAAAAGAACAAGAATACTACCAAGACAGATGATGGAACCAATATTTATTGAAAAAATGAATGAAAAGAAAAGTCAACTTCTAGTTGAAATATTTGGTTTACAAACACGAGTCTTGATTCTAAAAGCAATTTAAGTTTATTAAGACCAAACAATACAAACTCACACAGTTGGAAATCTAGGCCACAAATCTCCCTCTGTTTATTAAAGGCTAGCAGGCAGCTCATCCTTACCCAGCTCTGGGGAGTGCAGGAGTAACAACATCTTCCGACAAATGGCCTCTTACGGCTCATGAGGCTTTCTTTCCATTTTAGGGTTGCAGATCTGAAGAAGGTAGGTCGAAAGCCACACTCAGCCTAATAAATACGCAGAAAAATGTGTAATTGGCAAGAGAATTACACTTGTCCACTTGATCTCTAATAAAAGTATGATATTTCATATAAAAGAGAAAATTATAGCATGCTTTTGTCAACGTAATCATCATGTGTTACATTGTAATTTTCCCTTAAGGTATTCCCTTCTATAGTCAACACTTAGAAAAAAGCTCAATACATAATCAAAAGCTGATCACCTAAGAACAGTATAATCAGTGTAATTACTTCAAACCTGATGTTGCATTCTAAGGTTTTAAAACCTAAGTTGAGGTGTCCAGTGATGGATGAATGAATAAAGATATGTTATGCATACACAATGGAATATTATTTGGCCCTATAAAAGAATGAAATCCTTACAGCAACATGGGGGAGGCAAGACATTATGACAAGCACAATAAGCTAAGAACAAAAAGGAAGCTAGGGCCAGCAAGATAGCTCAGCAGTCTAAAGTGCCTGCTTAGGCAAGCACAGGGACCTCGGTTGGATTCCCAGCACCACACACTGCACCAGCCCTGCCCCCAAGGCGGGCTGAGACAGCCACAAAAAAAAAAAAAAAAAAAAAAGAAGAAGCTAAACAAGCTGATTCCAAGACAGACATGGTGGCTCATGCCTGTAATCCTAGCATTCTAGAAGACTGTCAAAGGAACCATAAGTTCAAACCCTGGGTAACTTAACAACTTAGTGAGACCCTGCCTCAAAATTTTAAAAGAAAGAGTTGAAAATATAGGTCAGTTGAAAAGCCCTGGGTTCCACCCTAGTAACAGAAAAAAAAAAATGATCTCACTAATAAAAGTAGAGGGGAATGGTGACTCTAGTAGGGAAGATGGCAGGGTCAGTAAGACAGGCTGATTGATGAATACAAAAGTATACTAAGACAAGAGGATTACGTTCTAGTGTCCTGTGGCATAGTAGGGTGACTATATGATCTAATCCAATACAGACAGAACAGAGGATTTTTAACATGTCCAACAAAAAGAAATAAAATGCTTAACAGACATGCTAATTACCTGAAATGATAACTGTACATTGTAACATGGTAAATAATGTAGCCCATGAATACACTTTGAACAATGTATCCCAAGTTACATTGATCACAAATATGTATATCTACTATGCCAATTAAAACCTAGCAATAAATAACTGACATCCCTAACAAAAACAAAATTTCCAGTTTAGAAAAACTAACAAAGCTGTTGAGAGCTAAGAAAACTCTGACAGCAGGACTAATAAAGTAGACTCCTACAATCACCTACATGCTAATATCTACCCAGATACCTTTTTTTTTTAAATATATTTCGTTATTGTAGGGTCTCACTATGCAGCTTGGACTCATGGTGATTCTACTGCTTTCAGCCTCCCCAGCGCTGGGATTACAGGCCTGCGCCACCGCGCCAGGACTCTAACAGGTTCAGCGAGTCCTGGGGGTGGGGCAGCATGTGGTATCGGGATCGAACATCGGTCCCTGTGCTTGCCTGCACCCCCCATACCCTTTTAATGTTCCCACAGGGAACTTAAACAACTGCCATGGTGAGCACGCTGCTCTACTATAGCTTGAAATACCTTGTTTTAAATGGTAAGCTTAATAATATTCCTTCACCTTAGGCTAGAATTTATATAGATATACTACTCAATGAAGGCCAAACCCTCTTGTTCTAATAACTTTCTTTTAACTTGGAGCTCATTACTTACTCAAAATTCACTGATATAACATTCCTTTATAATATTTATAATGAAGATAGTGTTTGAAGCTTTTTTTTTTTGGTCTTTCTGAGACAGGGTCTTGCTATGCAGTTCAGGCTGGCCTTGAGCTCACTTTGTAGCTCTGGGTGATCTCGAACTTGCAATGATCCTCCTGCCTCACCCTGTCAGGTGTCGGGATTACAGGCGTGTGCCACCATGCACAGCTGAGATAGTATTTAAAACATGTCAAATTATGTTGAAATTGGTAAAGCAATGCAAAAAATGTGAGATTTTGGGTTAGATGGATATAGAAATTTCCAATTTTTTATTTTTTTAAATATTCATTATGAAATTAATGCTTACTAAATGTAACCTAAAGAAAGTAGATGCCAAGAGAAAGAAAGGAAAAAAAAAAAAGAAAAACTCTTTAGAAGTATAATACCCAAAACAAGTACCAGGGTGTTTTTCCCTAAGCAAGTGTTTTACTTTCTACTTAATCACTGTACTTGAATTTTCTACTCAGTTTTTTCTTCCTGCTCACATGGTATTGAAGCTACTAAGTATTATTAGACTTCATAACTGTAACTTCTAACGGTTAACCTCGACTCGATATCACTGTATATTGCTACCAACGTTTCTACCTTCATAAGCAATATTAAAATGCACATTTTCAGGGTGAATCCTTTAAACTTTTCTTTTAGACTCACCCACTCCTCATTTGTGTGTTTGCAGCGGCCAAGGCTGTACTCTGATGAATTTGGCAAGTAAGAAACATCGATTGTGCTAACCGTCACTCCAGGTTCATCCATGTCACGAAGCGTAACTCCCGTATCATGTGCTACAAGAAAATGCCATCTCAGTTAACAAGGAATCCAGAGTAGACACCAGAATCCCAAATTCTGATTTCCACGTCACCATGCTCCATAATAGAATATCAAAGGAACTGCTGGACTGCTATTAAAAATAGCCCCTGATGCGTTCCCATGAGCTCAGGCCAGCCTGATTATGTAAGGATACTGTATCCTTAGACTTCTTGAACAAAACAGCTCTGCGTTTTAATTTGCAAGTGTAAATGAGAGCTTATTTCAGGTATTAAACAAAGAATTATTTCATTTTTATTAAAATATGAATAGTTTCTGGGAAAATGAAAGCTTGAGTTTAATTAAACACGTTACATGTAGGCACACCAGAATTTTTTTGAATTATGAATGGGGACTTCATGTAAAATAGATAAAACCAATGACAGCATCTCATTTCCTATTTAAATTGAACTGAGTTTAATTTTTCTTGTGATGCTCTAAAAGAAACAACACTTGCACTTTTAACATAACTACAAAGTTGTAAAAGAAAAATACCATTTGGGAAGGTCTGATTTGTTAGGTTTCGATCTCTTTGAAAAACTCTCTAACCCTACGGGAAATATTCATAGAGACCGAACTATAAAATCGATATATACCGATACAATATAAAAACTTTCTAACACCAGTCTCCCATTATTTTAGCTTCTGGCTACTTCTCTCCTGGCCTTAAAGGCCTGGACGATGACCTCCAAGCAATAATATTCCTTGAAAGATACATTCTGGTTTCTTTATGTTCCCTTTAGGGAGATGTCGCAGTAACTGTTATCCTCCAAATAGTATTTGTCTTTAACAATATACATAAGTAACAATCATACCCATTAGATCAAAGGGAGAGAACGGTAAAGCAATGCACCTGGGATGACAGTTCTTCTGTACAAAATAAAAATTCAGCCCTCAGCTATCAGCTTCCGGTGCAGAACGACCACACAACAAGAGGAGCACGCTGCTGCCTGGAAAAAAAAAAAAAAGGAGAGAGATGAAGGGAGGGAAAAGGGGATGTGGCAACGGGAACCCCAGGTTTGCTCCTCCTCCCTCTCTTTCAAGGTCAAGAATTTTAAAAACAAATTAAAAAAAAAAAAAAAAAAACTTCAGAGGTGCCAGGCAGCTGGGCTGACAGAACCAGGCAGCGGGCGCTGACGTGGACAGGGGTGGAGGAGCCAGCGCTGAGGCTCGGATCCTCCCGGGGAACACGTCTGCGCGAATCTGCACAAGCCGCTCGAGTTCTACGCCCTGATTTCTCCTTCTGGAAAATGGGTATAATACCGTAGGCCTCATGGGGTGGCGAGGAGGACTGAGCGACAAGCACAGCTCCGGCGCGGGGTCCACGGCGGGCGCCCCCAGCCCCAGCCGCCCCCAGCGCGCCCCGCAGCCTCGGGACCTCCGAGGGCCGGGGCAGGCAGGCTGGCGGCTCCCCCTTCGGAAGGTCCCGGGCTGCTGGGTCCAGAAGGCGTCCCTCCTCCCCCGCGCCGCAGCCCGGGCTCCCGGGGAAAGAGCCACGTGGACGCCCACCGCGCACGAGCCCGGCCCACCTCCTCGGAGGACCCTCGGGGCTCGGCGAGGGCAACTCGATGGCCCTGGAACTCGGAGGAGGCGCAGCGCCCGCGCCGATGAAGAGCGCACCTGTCCCCGTGCTCCCGGCCCGAGCCGCCGCCCGCAGCCCGCCCGGAGGGCTACACGACAGTTCGGGCTCCAGCGTTCCTGCGACTGCAGCTGCCCTCACTTCAAGTCCTGGCCAGTGCCGGCTGCGGCATCACGACGCCGGCGCGGCCTGATGACGTAGGCGGCGCGCGGGGTGCTGTGGGGGCGGGGCCGAGCGTGCAGCTGGCCGCGTGGCTCTGTGCCCACGGAGGAGGGTGGGCGGTCGAGCGCTATCTGTGGGCGCCCGAACAAGTGCTTACCCTCCCGGGCTTGTGCGAGTGCGACTGCACGGCTAGATCTCCCTGCGTGAGCGCGGCTGACCTGGCGCTCCTGTCGCCTCCAGGCTGGGGCGGGGTGTTCGTGTGCCGTGGGGCTCATGTGAGATTTGTGACACTGCAGGATTTGCTAAGGACGCCGGAGGCACTGGTGGCAAAAGGCTACGTTGTGTATTTCTGTGGGCGTAGCAGAGCCTCCGAGGAGGAAAAGGAGTGGAAAAAGTAAGGCTGGAAAGGTACAAGGTCTCCATTAGACAGGACTGTCTTCTTTCCTTTGTGCTGTATTGCGCGCAATAGTGAATATTGTTAATAACAGGGATTTGGACATGTACATTTCAAATGTTGTCCGAAAATTTGTCAATGAGGTGATGGTATGTTAATTAGCTTGATTTAATTACATTCATAATATAGACAACTAGGGTATATTATAAACAGAGCTAAGTCCTCAAGCAAATCAGGACAGAAGATAAAATTACGTTATCTCTGTGCCTGGAGGTACATCTACAGAGGACAGGCCTCTGGATAAAGGCAAAAAGAGCAGGCCAACCTGCCCTGGGATAAAAAAAATAAAGATTATACTATAATTGATATGACCTAGCCGGACCAAGCCTAGAAGACATGTCACCCAGGTTATCAGGATCTCCTGATCCATCCCTTCCTGAGGTCATTGTTCTTCCCATTTACGGTTGGTACATGACCTGCTTCAGCACTTGATCGATATTACCTAACCAGCTATATTTGTAATCTTATTGGTTGATACAGCTTTAACCCACATCTCACCCACCTGGTGATTTTGCACTGTAAGATTTCCCCTGTAAAGTGGGGTTCAAGGCAAACTGCTTTTGGGTCCCCTATCTCAGGAGCTCTCTCGCTCAATAAATTCTTCCAACTCTTTTAACTTCTGTTGTTCCTTAAAATTGATTCTTCAGTTTTGGAGAACATGAACTTGGCATATCTGCCATCTAGCAAGTTGGGACTTACATTTATTTCTCCTATATCATTAACATCATTTCATACTTCATAAATAGAACATGATTTGTCAATTTAACATTTAAAATAATGTTCAAAAAGACTTGAAGTCTGAATGGAATTTGCCGTATCTTAGCCATGTAAAAACAGCTCTGGGCGGGAAGAGGCTCTTTCACAGTATTTGTCCCACCATTGACAAGGCCCATGATAATCAAGAATACTGGCAGAGTAGAAGGAAAACAAGGTCTTGCAGGCATTCAAGCAACAAACATTATGAACTAGGACCTGGGAATACAAAAATGAGAAAACGGCCACAGGCATATGCCGGCACTCCATCTTTGTCCATCTTGCACATGGTAGCCATAATTTCTGCTCAAAATAAATCATTGTGCACATCTATCTGGATCAAAGACTACCCACTACTCCCTTGTCCAGATGCATGAGCCTGGCAGGTGAGCTGGCACCCAGGGGCCTTCCCTTTCTCCACCCCTCCAGCAGGAATGCCTACCTGCTGATCGTCCCTGCACAAGCCGAGGGCGTCCATACTCTAATTCTGCTCGTGACCTTCCTAATTCTGCATGTCCTGAGCCACACCTCCTAGGCTTTCCTTGTCTGCAGCCCTCCACAGTCATACTCTCCTGAGAAATCTCAAGACTGAGGGTGGCGCCACACCCTGGGTCATTATCAGTTCCTGTCACACTTCCATAAGATTACAAAGTCATCACAGCAGTAACTTGCTTAGGTGTCCTTGTTAAACCACAATGCCTTGTTATAGTCAGCTTTGCATAAATACTTGCTGAACCTGAGGAACAACAAGAACAAGATTTCCTTCTCTTGAACTTTCTACTTCTGTATGTAAATCAATGCCCAAATGCAAATACTCTTTTTTAAAACAACCCAAAGCAGTAGGAGTGGATATTATTCATGTTTTTTAAAAGGTCTTAATTTTGAGGTGAAGAGCACAGTGTCTGCTTTTCTTTTGGCGGGGGGGGGGTGTTTTGTTTCCTTTTTAAGACAGTGTTTCACTATGCAGTTCAGGCCCATTGTGAGGCCTTGAACTCACAATGATCCTCCTGCCTCAGCCTCCCAAGAGTGCTGGGATTACAGACCAGGCCTGGCTAGCCCTGTGTCTTTATTCAACTCCACATATAGGTCAGCAGCACTCAAGTGTAAGTACTTGAGGATTACATGTGACTAGATGAATTCTAATCCCAAAGGCTCATGAAATTTTATAAGCACATTACTACTGGTCCATGATGTAGAAAAAGCGGGGGGGGGGGGGGGCGCGCAGAGCTAGAGAAAAGCCTTAAGGTTTAAATCATTACTAAAGAAAATAAAAGGGCATGGACTAAAGAGAGTACTGCAGGAATGTGTAAAAGTAAGCCAGAGAGAAAAACTGCCTTACCTAAAATTCATTTGTAGGCAACTCTTCCATAACACCCAATTGCACAAGGGTAAATGCAGATTCTATGCCAGGAGTTTCAGGTTACTTAATGAAAATTGTTTTGGGAAACAGTTGACACCCTCAGCAACTTTATCAAGAGAACAATAATCTGGAATAATCCAGTCTAACCAGCCAAGGTGGAACAACAGAACTGAATTGACTATCGGGTTCAAAACAATCTGAAATAAATGTAAACCGGTGGCTTTCACTTAATGTGATAGCAGAAGAGAACCAAGTGGATTGTCTTGGTTGTCAGGCTGCAGTGCAGAGCAGGGGACCTCAGAAGACCTGGGCAGACTCTGAAACTTAGGATCTAGAACTGGAGACAAGGAAGGTCAGAGCAGCTGGAGCTGGAGACAGAGAAGGAGACTACCAGAGGAGGGAAGAGCCAGGGGAGCTGCGGATGAGCAGCTGCCAGCCAGCACTCGGCTCATTAGCAAGGCCAGGGAAGAACAGGCAAGGAGCGATCACCGAACCCTGGATGGAGCAGGGAGTCTTCCTTCTCCTGAGTCAGAGGGGAAGAATACTCGGTGATCATACAGGCCCATAAGCAGCCTTGACCCCAGCCCTGACCCTGAAAGCCTCACATAAAATCAGAAAGTACCTGGTACCACGAGACCCTGTCTCAAAAAGACAAAAAATGAAAATAAAGCTAGAAACTATCTTGTACCTGATAAAACTCAAAATGGAAAAGGAGTGAAATGTTAAGGCTCATAGAAGCAAGAAAGAAAGGTACAGAGTACCAGGTGTGGTGGCACATGCCTGCTCTCCAGTGCTTAGGAGGCGGAGGCACAAGGACTGCTGTGCGTCGGAGGCCAGTCTGGGCTACATTAGTAGAGTCAAGGCCAGCCTGAACTCCATATCAGCAGAAACACTGTCAGAAAGACAAAAATAAAAACATCCATAGTAAGAAGAGGAAAATTCGATCAAGTGGAAGAATCCTAGAAATGACAGATGTTCAGTCAGTGGACAAAGAGATTTTGAAAGTAATGTCACCACAACCACTCTGTTCAAGAAAAGAAAAAGAAAATTGAATTTGGTAAACAGAGACATGGAGAATCTTTTTAAAGAAAGATTCAAGGTTAACATCTAGTAATTATAAAATCATTGAGGTTTATCGCACCACACACACACACACACACACACACACACACATCTACACTTGTACTAACAGCAAATGGTAAAAGAAACCAGCAGATCACTAAAAGCGAAGAGCAAGGAATAGTCCTGGGAGTGGGGCTAGCATGACTTGTGGTGCCGGGGATCGAACCTCGGTCCCTGCACTTTGACGAAGCTTGCCTAAGTAGGGGCTTTAGACTGCTGAGCTATCTCTGGCCCCAAATTGAAACTATTTTGATAGAAACTATCCAAAATGAAGTACTGAGGGAAGAAAAAGACTGAAAATAAGAAGGAAGAAAATGCACTCCGTGAACTTAGTATGCAGGCAATTGGAGACCCAGACAGAAATAGTGGAATAATGCATGAAAATGTCCCAAATGTGCTGAAAACTATAAATTCACTAGGAACTATAAGCTCAGTAATGTAAGCAGAAACATAAAGAAAACTATACCCAGAGATATCACCGTGAAATTTCCAAAAACAGTAATAGAAGAATCTTAATTAG